TAAAAAAAAAGTATATATATTCTCCTCGTACATACTAGCAATATTTTTCCTTGTTATTTTTCTTTCTTATTCAAAAAATTACTCAAAATTACTCTGGAAAATCACCCATTTCTTCAACTATATAATAACCAGCAGTGACATGATTTGACATGCCAGGCTTTGATAGGGTTCTTCAATTGCTCATATAATGTTCTGAAAAACAATAAATAATTTCAGGACTACTTCTCTTTATGGGAGAAGAATAAGATATGCTGCCAGTAGTGGCTTCTGTGAATACTAAATGATTTTTTAAGAAATTCTCATTGTATTTTACTGAATTTCTCTTCTGAAGTGAATTTTCTTCTAGAAATATTTCAGTCTTTCCTATTTTCAGGGCTTGTGTTTCTAAAGAGGTGTTTGACTTCTCGGTGGGCCAGGTGGGACTCCCTCTGATATGAACCTGTGATTCTAGACATATTTTTTAACCATGGGAAATCACTTTTAAGGAACTCCTCCTTCCTCTTGTCCTGGTTATACCAACACAAGTGTTTGAGGGTTGGTGCAGTGCAGTGGATGGGGAAACCCCATGTGCTCAAATCAGCTGGAGGGTTTGGGCTAGCCTTGCTGTTGTGATGTGGTTTGGAGGATGGAGACCAGGTATCACAAATCCTTTTCTTTTTGRGTCAGATAACTGCCAATTTCTGAACACCCTCACTGCAGAACCTGGTTTGCCAGGGGAAATGTCTGGTTGTGGGGAGAAACAGTCACCTTGTAAGTGACTGCTGGTCAGTTATCAGTGGATTTTGGCTTTTGATGACMCCTGATCTGGGTTTGTAAAGTACTATGGAAGCTCCTGCTGGGTTGGATTATTTCTCTGTTCAGTGCATCAGTCAGGAGGAAAACACCCAGCCCAGACAGCATGGTAGAAGAGGGGGTCCTATAGTGCATAGATTAAAGTAGTGGTAGGAAGGAATTTTTTAGACTCTGTAACCCTGTGCATGTGCCATCTGTATGTGAACTTTGTCATGGTGAAGTGGTGAGGGTGCTTTTTTAGGTTGGCAAATGAAAATTCTTCCATTTTAGGTTTATACTGTGTGCTTTCAAATATTTTCTCTATCAAGGCTAGGATTGAAGGCGGGGCTRTTTCTTACTCCTTATGCAGTGTRTTCTTTCCTATTCAGGCAGAATACYCCTAAACAKGCACTGTAGGAGTGAAATGTGTGTTTAGCACTGAWTTTTAGTTGTATATTAAATAAACCAGGTTTTGTAGCTCTACTTAGTATCAAAAACACTCTGTCCTTGTTGAAGTACAACTTCTGTAATTCCAGATGATTGTGATAAAAAAGCAGAACACTTTGTTCAGGAGCTCTTAATGGTCTGTTGCAGGGAAATAAAAATGAAGTCTTTGCAGAGTGGTCACAGGACTGAATATTCACAATTCCCCTTGCTTCTGCCAGGTTCTCTGCATTTGTCTGCCATAGCTGGAAGAGGTTCTTTGGCTTTGTGGAAAACAGAAGGTAGGAAGAAAATCACAGAAAAATGTTCTTGGCTTCCAGCCCCATAAATAGCATGGRTAAAACCTTCTAGGAAAAGTAGATTTGGGTATCTTGATGTGGTTCACACTACCTTTGGAATTTCAGGAAAACTGACGTAACCTGTTGGGTCATGTTGTTTGACCGTACATGGACATTGGGTTTTAGATAGTTAYGCTTTATTCTTCTGTGTGTTTTAGTTTTCCTTCTAGTGCCATGTGCAACTAATTTATGTATTACTAATTCACATATTGAATTAATTTAAGAAAATGGAGTCATCTCAGGGATCCGTAGAAGGCTGCAGGCCTGAATTGGAAATCAAGTTTTGCAACAGTAACTTGCAGACATCAAAAGATTGGGAAGTTTTGTTTGGGGACAGAGACATCAAACTTGGATGGTTATTTCTTCCTTGCTCTACAGCAAAGAGGAAAGCTGTGATTTCCATATTCCTGGAAGAAGCTAGACATGGAGATGCAGCCTGTCACTCCATGTTGGCATTGTTGTGACCCGTCCCAGCCAAACCTAGGGAATGTAGACGCACAGGAAATGTCTTTTTCAAATTTAAATATAGTCAACTTTCTAGACAAAACCCCAAATTTGAGTTAGTACCTGAAAAAAAAMAACCTGTGGGTTAGTATTTGGCAGTTCATATTTTAGCTAAGGAAGAATTCTCATATCCTGCAATGTGACCTGGCTCTTTGAGTCGTGTCTGGTGTTTTCTTCCATCCATGTTCCAAATTTGCAGGAAAAAGAAACYGCTTGTGTTCAGACCTCACCTTCTTTGTATTAACCAGCTTCRCATCCCCCGAGGGAGGAGGAACACTGGGCTTTAGGAGGGGTGTGAAAGCACGGCTAATAAATCTGTTTTAAGTAGGACGGATGAGCAAGTAACCTCAAAAAAAGTGCACGAAGCTTGTTCCAAAGAGTTTGGCTCTGCAGTGCAGTCTGCCAGTCTCACGGCAGATGTCTTACTCTGCCTGGAATACATCTGTACGAATATGCCAGAAATTCCTGCCAGTGGCTGTGCCTTGTAGCCAGCAGTGCTGCTGGTATAGTCTCTGGTGTGGTCATACCAGACCTGACAAATAAGAGGAAACCCTTTTTATTTATGTTTTCTTTTTTCTTTTTCTTTTTTTTTTCGTTTTCCCCTTTCAAGTGAAGCGAGTGTAGACACGGCAGCAGTGACAAACCATTAATAAAGCAAAAGGAATGTGGCTGTAACACTGAAATAATGACACCTAGCAAACGAATGTCAACATACTCGTTGTTGTGCCTGGAATGGAAATATTACTAGGAAAATATGTAGCTTTGAGCTACAGTCTGGGTTTTTTCCTCAAGAAAATAGCATCAGTGCGATGCTTAAATTCTGTTAAATCTCAGCTTTTGGATTCGGACTGGATGAACGTGTCATTTGTTTGGGGTTGTTTTATGTGGGTTTGGAACAGTTTCTATGAACATTGTGTTCTTTAAAATAAGCTTTATATGTGAATATATGCATTTGCACACATGATAACTATAGATGGGTAAATAGTTATGTGTGTAGCCAACATAGTTAGAGTGCAACTGGCTGTTGACTAAATCAGTCCATTTCCATTAAAAACTGCTCACTCTTGTGCTTTCTCTGGTTCTTCAGGATGGTAGCAACAGTAGGACTAAAACACTTCCACGCTCTGGGACAAAGCTGTTGGTGCAGGCAGGAAATAGGACTTGAAATCTGACTCTGATGTGCCATCCTAGCAAGGACTGTGTCTCAGGCTTCTGGAGMACTTCTGTCCTGTAATTGAGTCTTGGATAAAAGGAGGGATTTAATTTGAAGGTGGATGAAAATACATTGCCTCTGTTTATATCTCAGTGAAGTGATGATTAGAAAAGTGGTGTTTTCGCACAAATGAGAACAGTGGAAAGGGCTGTGAGAGTTGTGCTAAATTTGGTACYGAGTTAAATTAAAATGCTTGTCTTGAGCTGTATGGCTGGAGGTCACAATGCCAGGTTTGCACATCTYCTGAAAAACAAATTTACTTTCAGTCTTCTGGTTCTGCTCAGATGTGAAGGGGCCTGCTTGATGACAGTGAAAGGACAGATGTGATTCAGTCTGCGTGGGCAGTGCCATCACTTCTAAATCACACAAGTGAGCTAATCCTCAGATGCTGGAGGAGCAGCTCCTGGTCAGGCTGATATTTCTGATCATGAGGCTGTGCAGGTGATGGGATTGCAGTGAACTCTGAAAGAGGTTGTTGAAAATGAAGACAGTGTATCTCAGCTAAACGAATAATTTACTTGTTGAACTGAAAAAAAAAAAAAAAAGAAGAAGAATTTGAAGTCTAGCAGCACCTGGGGCTGAGGGGAGATAAGATTTGCTGCATTCAGCATCCATGGAACGGGATGCTCCACTCCTGGTGAGGTTGGCTCAGTCCTTAATCCCCTCTGGAGCAGATGAATTAAACTCCTGGTTTATGGCTCTGTAGTTAAGTGTCCCATGCTCTTTGCCAAAAATTCCCCTTTCTGTGCTCTGGTGTACTCTGATCATCTTGTGTCAGCTGGTTACCTTATGCTGCCACCTAAGTCACAGCGTATTTTTTTTTCTGACTTGAATTTGGGATGAATATGAAATTATTCAGGAAGACTTYGGGATTCTCTGGCATGAGGGATACTGAGGAGGCTGCTCACCCCTGGGCATGTGAGGTTGCTTTGCTTAGGRGTTGTTGTGCAGAAGTCTAGATAAGCTGTGTGATGAGATCATCCGTTTTATTCACTGGAGCTGTATTATTGCCCCATAAACCAGCATGATGATACCCTTAACACTGAATTAAGACTCGTTTTTACGAGGCAGCTTCTCATGGTTTTACTGATGCTCACGTATCACATCAGCTAGCTGTGAAGGGGGAGGGCGTGCTGGAAGTGATGTGTGATTTTTCACAAATCCTTAAGTGATGTCATAATTTTCTGTTGTCCTTCCTAGRACGGGGTGTTCAGAACATTGAGGATGTGCTGTCCCTCCTGCTCCAGCAGAATCAATCCTTCTGGGTCATGATTAAATGGAAGTCAGGTGTCTGCTCTTTGTGTTGTAGTGGCAGTTCACACTGTTTACAGGGCCCTAGAAAGAAAATATAGGTGTTTGGCTTTGAAGTGTGGCTATTGAGTGGAATTGCTGTAACATCTTAACCATGTGGGTGACCACATGCAGTTCCAAGAGGATGCTGRTTTAAGAGCAAAGCTCTCTCAAAGTGTTTCAAAACCTGCCTATTCCAGCAGTGAAGGCTGAGTTTAATAATTGTGGGAATGAATGGAAATCTGGCTGGTTGGTTTTTTGGATTCCTGCATGGAAACTTGGCTTTCCCTGCTCTTGATTTAACAGTTTAAACCTCAGTTCCGAGCCTTGAGCTCCTGTGCACCTCTTGTTACCAAAGCCGGGTCCCACTCTACGTTGAACTGCAAATTGACCTYCTATGAGAGTTTTTGCAGGGTTTTTAACTGGTGTTTCTCTTGCAGGAAGTCCGTTGAGGAAGATTCTCCATGAATGTACGTCACAATGATGATGACCGACCAAATCCCGCTGGAGCTGCCGCCGTTGCTCAACGGGGAGGTGGCCATGATGCCTCACATCGTGAATGGCGATGGATCGCAGCAGGTCAGAAACAAGCTGCTTCAAAACAAATCCTTCTGGGCCAGCCAGGGGTTTTCAGGATGGGGAAGATGGTTCTCCTTCGCACTAGGGAGGGCAGAGTCTTTGCTGGGATGTAGAAACCTTCCTTTATGCTGAAAAGGCATTAAAAAAAATGGTTAAGGCGTACCCTTAAATTGAATGTGTTTGTCTGCMTATGTGTTCGTTGGAGTAAACACAGTGGAATTGAAACAGTGGCTGTAGATGCTGCATACTTGAGGGCTTTGCAGAAGGTTATGATTTGTTTGTGCTTACTCTTGTCCAGGCGTCTTGTCCATCTCRTTTGTGGTGAGATTTTAAGATTTTAAAAATGCTGAGATAAGGAAAGAAATGGAAGTTGGAAAGAAATGAAGGACAGCAATGATGTCTGCTGTTCCTTGCTTTCCTGAATATACYTTTCCCAGCAGGCCTGTGTACTACCCTGTGCTTCATTTTAAGAAGCAGTGAATTTTGAAGGAAGACAAGATTTACTTTTATTTGCTTTTTTTTTTTTTTCTGGGAGATACTCTATAATAAGCTTGACCAGAAGTTGGTAGAATGATCGTAAGACCATAGTGATGCCTTCATATCAGGACACAGTGTGGAGGTTTGGGTGACTGGTAGGTTCCCAAATATGTCRTCTGGGGTCAAGGTGCCTCTTTGTAGAACATCTGCCCTGGCAGTTTTTCTGTGTTTCTCAATTTGGTTCCCTCCTCATGTGAGACATTTCAGCAAAGGTAGAATCAAGCTGTCSTTCTTGAATCAGTATAAAAGGTCATTCTGTTACTTCTTGTTCCCTGGATCATTTGTTCCTCCTTCCAAGCTGTGTTTTGAGCTAGCCCAACCTCAAGAGGAAGAATAATTTTTGCTTTCCTTGTGAGCTTGTAAGTCTGTTTGGTTATCTAGATTCCCATTGTGATTTAGTTTCTCATTGTTGTGATTAATTATTTTTTTTCAAAGACATTTTTGCAAAGTGTGCTTTGACCTGAAAAAACAGAGAAGAATGCTTCCAGCAGCTGTATTTACTAAGTCCAGTATTAATATACTTAGGTAAGGGAACAATCTGATTCATACTGGATGGGATAATTGTTCTTTAAGTACACACTTCTCGCTGGAAACCACTTTTCAGGTCAGACTGTCCTGACAGTGGGTTCTCCTGTATTACAGAAAGAATAAGTGAATTGTTCTGAGCCCTCCTTTGAGATGGTGCTCAAAGCCCAATCTTTCAATTTCCTCATCTTTGATGATTCAGCAGCCTGGCTTGGCAGATGGCTCTGTTGCCTTTAAAGTAGTTTCTCAGCTAATGTTTTGCATTAACAAGAATTGCAGGTGCACTGAAAGCTCATTGCTTCTTGCTTTTGCTGTGTAATGCAAGCATGACTCAGTAGAACAGTTCTGGGCCAGGTCCATGTGTCAGTGTTTGCTGGATGATGCTTTTAGACCTCATCTCCTTATCTGAAGGAGATATCCTGTAGCTGAAATACCAGTTTTCCCTGAGACTTTTTGCCTCTAGACTGATGTGCCCTCACCTGTTGCAAAGCTTAACTACCTTTCTGCTTTATCGTTTTCATCCTATTCTGGAAGCTTTATGTGATGTCTTAGCTTTTTAAAAGTGCAGTTGTAAAATGGAATGAAATTGGAATAAATGCTTTGTTTGATCTTTGCAAATGAAGTATGTTAATTGCTCTTAACATGGTTTGTTGTAATGTGGAAACGAGTGTTAAGTGTTTGTTGAAAGAGATTTATTTTTGTTACTTGTAAGGTGGGAAGAGCCTTCAGGAYAGATTCACATAGGAGTGACTTCCTTAAGAAAGAGGGTTTATATGACTCCATAAATAGGTTCTAGCTTTAGGAGGACGTGTGCTTTTACAGGGTGTGATTATAGCCTCCATGAGGAGCTGGTGGTGAGAAAGCCTGGTGGCAGAGCTGGTGGCACATGAGGTGTGTGCAGTGTGGCACCAGGCAGCTCAGTGCCCCCCTTGTGTTTGGGGGTGACACAACGGAGGCTCTGATGGGATGCTCTGGACACGCTGACTGCAGTGTGTGTGGCTGCATTTGTGAAGCCTCAGCTGTGCCAGTGTGATAGAGCTGTGTTAGGAGCTGTGCCTGGAAATGCTGAGCTCCAGGGAAAAGCCTTTCCTCAAAAGACTCGTTCTTGTACACGTAGAATAAAGCAGGCTGGAGCTGGTCAAACACCTTGGCTTTGCCAGCAGCCAGCTGGAGAGCAATGCAAAAGGCAAATCTGCCAGTGAGCAGGCCTGGGATGTAAGGCATGGGAACATTCACTTGTTTTATCTTCCTCAGAATAAGGGCTGCAGAGCTGCACAGGGCAGGGCGAGCAATGTCTCTGCCTGCTTGACYGTAATCCCTCTTCTCTAGACTACCCAAAATGGCATTTCCAGCACTGCCTTGCTTATTTTTTTTCAGTTTCCCACACTTTATTTCCACTACTGCTGACTGTGTTTAATGCTTTTATGTCCCATCCAGAGCTGTTTCTTCTTCTAATCCACTTGTAACTCCCTTGGGGATTCAGGGAGCGATAATTAACCTTTTGGTCCAAGAATTTCAATGGTTTCCTGTAGGTACTCCACTRCAAGCTCTAAAAAGCTTGAGTACAAAGCAGAGGGGCAGCTAGCTGTGCTGCAGCCCATCTGTGCAGAATGTTGGGCTGTTTAGTTCGGGAAGTTYTATTTCAGCTTGGTTCACCCCCTGCACCTGCAGAGGCGTAGCAGGTTTTCTGCCTGCCTGCTCTTTGTAAAGGTGTGTTTACCAACCCTGTGGTTTCACAATTTGGCTCGAGCTCAGGCAGTGCACGTCGAGCTGTGTGTGCTTGTTCTTGTCTTTTAGGGTCACAGGTTTTCAATGAGGGAGACAGGAGTACAGCTGAATGAGGAACAAGGTTTGGTACCTTCCTGTAGCACGACAAGTCTGTGCACCTTGCAAGGGACTGAAAGCACGTAGCTGGATTTTGTGCTGAACCACAGCATCTGAGCTGAGTGAATGAACTTGGTGCCAAAATTTAGAGTTACTTCTTCATGGTTTCTCAGTCTATTTATTTATTTTTTTACTGCTAGTTTGGCATGTGTTTTAAGGTGTGATAAATTTGGAGGTTCAGGRTCTGCCACTTGTGGGTTTTGCTGTGAAAGGCACTCATGTTAAACTGGCTGAATTGCTTCATGCTTTTATTAATGCCTTTTTTTGTCCAGTAAAAAAAAAAAAAAGTTAAGCCCAGACATTGTTATTGAAGTATTCATTTTTAAAAGTCAGCTTTATTGTTTTAAGATGTAGCATGTTCCCTGACTTTCCTTACTGAAGAGAGACTGAAAATGTTTAGTTTACCTGCTCTGTATGACTGAGGGATGTGTTCCTGAGAAGAATATTGCCCACAGAATGGTGTGAGTTCCCTGATCCTTCCTGTGGGATGCATCTGGAAATTTATTGGGGTCTGGGGCACAGTCCTTTAAAGTAGATGACAGAACAGATCCAAGTGATTGGTTTTCTTTTGTGTTTTGTTTTTATATTCTCTTCTCCCAAAAGGTGCAATGAATCCCATAAGTTACACACCATAGAAATTGTAAATGCAGTAAATTGTAATGGTTTGAAGCATTTGTGAGGAAGCTGTGACTGTGCTCCCCAGCTGGATGAGGCATGATACATCTCATGGGAAAGAAAGATTGACCACGCTGGAAAATGTTTAATGCAAGGTTTTAATAAGCTTAAACCCTGGAAAGGACTGTTTAACCTTAGTGAGGAAAATGTTCTTGTAAGGGGGGGATACTGTAAGTGAGCACTGGGGCTSAACTGCATCCACTGATGTAGCTGAACACCTTCCACTATCCCAGGTTGCTCCAAGCCTCATCCAACYRGTCCTTGGACACTTCCATGGATGGAGCAGTCACAGCTGCTCTGGTCACCAGTGTCAGGGCTTTACCACCCTCAYTGWAAAGAAATTTTTCCCAATATCCAATCTAGAACTTCATTCAGTTAATTTATTCCTGAACCTGAGCTTATGCCTGCATTAACTTTGTGAGCAGCTTCTTTAGTCTCCTCCCCTGTTTCCACTGGGCATGAGAGTTGGATAGTGAGAAAAAAGGGAGGCACGGGTGACACGTGCTTGGCTTGTCTTGAAAACTTAGTCTGGACGTGCTCTGTGGGATTATAAATATTTATAGTAGCTATGCAACTCAGTAACATTCATCACTCAACAAACATGACTTTCAATAAAACAGAATGACATTCTTCAATGCAAAAGAAATGCAAAAAGAGCATTACGGAGATAACAGGCTTTATCTGAGGGTGCTGCAGGTGAGGCTGTGCTTCAGCACAAAGTGGATTAAACTGCTGAATTAAATATCAGAGTACTTTTTAGGGAAAAGAAAAAGCCTTTGGGATTGTGCTGCTGACGCCCTGCTCCCAGCTGTCACATGCTGCAGCTTTTTGGATGGGAGGASTGAAAGTGGGCTGGAGTGACCTCGGCCATGAGACCGCACCCTGGAGATGCTGCCAGCCTGCAGTGAGAGCTCCAAACTTGACCCTTCAAGTTCTCTTCTCATCTCATAAATGTGCATGCTCGGGGTGATGAATATTGGAAGAGGCATAGCACAATTAAAGATCATCTGGGTTTGTTTTCAATAAAACAGAGAGGTTATCGTTACACTTTTTTATTGCTTCCCTCAGTTGTTTTTTTTTTTTTTTAATTAAAACCTTTAGAAACGAGGCGTTCTCATGAAGATCCCTTGTGTGAAAGGAAAGAGGGAAGCTGCGTTCCAGGCTGCAGAATATGGTTTTGTTGTTTATGAGGACGTGGGGAAAAGTAAATCATGGAATTAGTTTTATACACTTCAGTGTGTATAAACAAAAGAAGTCGCAGTGGGCCTTGGCATTATTTGTCCCAGGCAACTGGGACCAGTCAGGGGTGTTGGCTGGAATATYACCCAGTGGCTTTGATGGTTTGGCAGCAGYTCTKGGTGKYTTTGGGGSCTGTGTGCAGCATGGGGGACTGCARAGGGRATGRGGTRGTGGGATGGATAATGRGGAAAACCCCAATATCCCATCTTTGGAAAGGAAGGGCTGGGTTTTTATKTGCAGCCTGTGGAAGGGTCTGAGGAGCCTGGCTGCTGCTCCTGGGTCTGAGGCCACTTTGGTCACACAAATTCCCTTTGTGCCCAGCCCTTGCTCCAGTGTTGACCCATATCAGTCACACCTTGCCTATTCCTGTTTGCTCTTGATATTGCTGCCTTCCCCCAGCAACAGCCTGTAAATGTTTTCTTCAGCTCCAGAGGTGGCTGATTTGAGCATCTGGAGTTATTTTCATATCTGTAACATTTTAATAGAAGCTGCTGTATGTAAGTCCCAGGCTCTGCSCACAGGCTTGTGATGGGGGGACAAAGCTGTGTGGCTGCTGCTCTACAGGAAACAAATTTGTTTCTGGAACAATTTGTTTGTGTTAAAAACCCACGTGATCAGGCAAGGATGATGCTGCTTCATTTTCACGATCAAAAGCAGTGGCTGTGATTGGGGATATCATCTTTTTATAATGCAGAACCCCAAGGAATTATTTTTAAGGGACAATTGTGGGTGTGCTAATGTGGACACTTGTGCTGGTGATGGACTCCTGGGACAGGAATTTGTAAATCTTCTGGTGACTCTGGGGTAGGCATGTACCTTGTGTGGGAGGAGGAATCCCCCTTTTCTGTTTTAGGGAAAAGTTGGAGCTTCACATGCGTRGGGCATGAATCTTAGGGTTCGTGTTTGAGGAGTTGGACCAAGTTCTTCCAAAGGTGTAAAGGTGTGCAAGGGCTTCTGATTTAACATAAATCACATTTGCTGGTGAATAACCAGCTTTAGAGCTGTTGGTTTAGACACGTAATTCAAATGAGCTGATGAAATACTTTTATGATTCTTGGCCTCTGGTTTCTTGTTTGTTGGTTGTTTTGGTTTGGTTTTTTTATTAAGCTTGATGACATCGCTTTGCTCTGTGCTTCTTTTGACCTGATGCCCATGTCCTGTGGTGGATAATTCATGCCTATTCATAGCAAAAGAGCACTTAAACGCTGTCACTTAGATGCTGATTGTTTAGAGATTAGGGATGGAATGGCTTTGTGCCTTTTATCTTTTCTGAACCATTTATTGTGCTCTGTAGGCTGGATCAGATCCACCCTGATCAGTGCTCCCCCAGAAATTATTGTTGCAGACAACATAATGGCTTTCRTGTGTCATTTCTTTGATTTCCAGCTTGTGCTTTAAAAATGTTGGTGGAATAATAGGTTTCTGTAGGACTGCTGTAATTCAAAAGGTCATCTAGGTAATAATTATCTTATRCATTTGGCTTAAAGAATTCAGAAACACAACATGAATTCAAATTCTTTCTTTCCAGATTGAATGATTAAATTCTGCATGCAGATGACCCAGAATATAAAGACCAGACCTAAGTTTAGAGAGAGATTTCACAAAAAATATGTAGATTAATCTTGGTACAAAGTGAAAATWTAATTTACATCTTGATTGAATTTCTGACAATGCATGGTTGGCAGAAGTGTGTTTAAAGTATTTTACTAAAAGTTTCACGAGCAGCAAGGTGATAAAAGGGATAAATGGTCCCTAGTTCCCAGTGAAACCGTCCATTACAGAAAGAATTTGAAATCATAAGTTTTAAACCCATTGTTTCAGACACCTGAAAATTAATAAAGGTGATGCAACGTGCCCTAAACTTGGACATGTTTTGGTGCTTCCTGGTCCTTGTGTGTTCCCATCATCTGCAGAATTCAGCAATGGGAGAACAGGGTGATCTTTTTATTATAAAAAAAAATCTTATATTTGTTAATAATAGTTCATTGCTGGTTCTTTGTGCAGCTGTTGAGCTGTGTGTGCGCTTAACTGAGATCTGGTGTGTGCAAGGCTGAAGGATCTGTTTTTAAAAACTTAATGGATCAACTCCCCATGAGTTTAACTCTACCAGTTAAACACACCCTCAGGATTTTGGTGTGGACCTCAAAGCCATAATTCTCACCTGTATGCAGTTGAATTACATCTTCATTTCAGCTCTTAAAATGTAGATGAGTAGGTGGGTTTGAGGTCCCTGCCTGCTTTTGGACCCTGGTACCCACAGTTGCAGTGTGCCAGTCTGTTCCTTCCCTGCCTTCACACCCTTCCAGAAAAGGGATAACACACTCACTATTTTGGGGGAAATTTGAATTTCTGGAGATCAGATGAAACAAATATTTATTGTTCTTTCTGCAGGTCTTCTTGGTTCAAGTTAATCCAGGTGAAACCTTTACAATAAGGGCTGAGGATGGAACCCTCCAGTGCATCCAAGGTAAGAGGATACAGAAATATATGGATGAGCATTGCTTTGCTTTGTGGAATACCTGTTCTGTCATATCTCCCAAAACATGATCTGCAGCTCTGAAAATGCACTGAAACACGTTTGAGTGAAAACTTGCAGACGTGGCTGCTTTCTGTATTCTAGGACTTGAATATCTCAGAGTGAGTCATGCATTTCTTGGAAATCCAGGAGGATTTCTCYCTCCAGTTATTTATCAGCCCCATCTTGCAGCCTCTTTGCACCTTTTCTCTGACACCCCCTCAATTTAAACAGTGGAGGAGTGGGTGGTTCTTGCCTGAAGTTCCATCCCCATGGAAATGATGAATTAATAGTTGTTTGAGATAGACATTACAGAAGCTTCCCTGAGCACCATCCAGGATTATTTGGTCTTGATGAGCAATAATAACAGCAATTTAAAGCTGCTTGTTGAGATTTATAGSCAACATGCTGTGTGGTAAGAAATTKGTCCATGTGGCAATTAACAGAGGAATAAAGCTGGCTACTCCTTTTATTTGAAATGAATGCTTTATTCTGGTTTAGTACATGAAAGATTTCCATTACAAATATAATTATGACCCCATTTATTTATAATTTTGTTCATGCTCAAAGTGGTGTTCAGACAGTGTATTTAAATGAATGCAACTTGAAACCTCCTGGTTCTGTATTCCCAGTAATTTAATGTGTTTGTGCCAATGGGACTTGTTTGGTACTCATCAGCAGTCTTTCATAAAATTGATTTAGAATTTCTCGCATAAGATTGTCTTCTTTTATTTGCTATAGCTGCAATATTGACTGCCAAGGCTCATGTTTATTTGTGTACACCCTTTCAGTTTGGCCTGAAAATTYTTGGTATTCTTTTCAAGTTAAAGCTTCAGAWCCTWMTTTAGTGTAAAATATTTTTATTGCYGAATTACGTACATGCTTCAAACATAGGAAAGCACCTGAGTCTATTGCTGTCGTGTTTTCTCTGTTTTCTTTTGGTAAAGCTATGCAATTATGGAACTTAAATAATGTTAATAGTGATCTATTGCTGAGGATGCTGTAATCAGCCTGCAAATACACTAAGATTTGGATTGGTGACTATTCTGTTTTTGTGCTCTGAGGCTATTATAGAAGACAGGCTTATTTTGTGTGCAGTGTTCTTGGAAATTACCCACCCCCTTGCTCCACCAAACTTAAGTGTCTTTATTTTCTCTCCTGTGATAGAGTATTTGGTGTGTTTAAAGGTTCTGGRGTGTTTTGTGTGTTTAAAGGTTAATGTATTCCCTATACATAGGGCAGCACTTGGACAATAATCATGCATTTTCYGATGCTCCCACATTGCACTATGATTAGCAGGATAAGGAATAATTTTAGCACTGTGTTAAGGCAGCATGAAAGTCTCTTTTTGGGCAGTGCCTCTCAGCTGGTAGCTCCCTGTGGAATAGATGATACTTTTTCCTTACTGCCACGTATTCAGGGTTGTGACATAAGATACACTTGTGAATATTCACAGTGTGAAGGACTGCTTTATTACAAATTGGGTGATTCTCCTGAGTTCAGGGAGTGAACACTCTTAATAAAAACTTGAGATGTCRGGCTTGGTAATACTAAATTCTTCAGGACATACGAAAGCTCTTCCCTTTGGCATGTGACCGTTCTGCAGGGACAGCTAACTTTGCTTATGTAGCATAATTTATTTTTTTTTATTGCTTTTTTGTGTATGACTTTTTGAGCAGTATGAGGTCTTCAGGTTGTGCTCCTGGAGCCTGYTCTGAAAGACCTGTGAGCCCCACTTTGTGCCCAGAACCCTGTTTGTCTCCCCAGCTGTGGTATGGGTGGTGATGGTGTGTTTTAGAGGACTGAGGCAAAAACAGCAGARAAGGCAACTTAGCAAATCTCCATTTGCCTCATCAAGGCTGGAAGAAAGACACTTGCTWGAGGAAAATCTCTGTGGAATAGCCTCTGTTTTAAACACCCTGAAGTGTAATTAGCCACTAACTGAGTAATCACTGTTTTAAACCAGAAAGAGCAGATGGACATTTGAATGTTTCTTATGTTTTGGAGTGGTGGAGAAATCTCAGATATAAAAACTTYTCCCAGTTCCTCAGGGTTGCACCAGTGAGATAATCAGTGAAAACTTCATTTAGGGTGTATTTTTATTTTTAATTTAAAACTGGAATAAATATGTATCTGTGACTGAGGGTGCAAGGTGTTGCAGCAAGTGCTCTCTTCATGGTTTTTGCACATAGCTGGAGGTTACTTTTTTAAGACAATGATTTATAAGCCCTAGATCATGGAGTGATCCTAAATTAGGGCAGCTCTTGGAAATGATGGTGGCTGGGAGAWGTTCAGCTGGTCAGTGGGCATGGAGAGAGTCTGTGGTTTTCTTGAGAAGACAGATTTAAAGAGAAGATAAATAAAATAAAAAATGCATAAAAAATGCTTTTGGAGAAATCCAGCCCTTGAGTGCAGTCCACACGTTGAGTTGTTTAGGGAAGCATCTGAACAGTTCCAGGTGCTCTCAGCAGGAGTTKTGTTGTTGTCKGACTTCCTCAGGATTTGCCTTCTCYGTCCCATGTGATAGAAGAGATGCTGTGGTATGTGACTTTTGTAGCCTTTATAGCAACAGCCAAATAAAGGAATAAAGGAAGGGCATGTTGGGGATTAATTGAGATTAATTTTTTAATGGTTGCTAGAAGCTGGTTCCAGTAGAAGCCTGTGCTCTGTGGCTGCCTGTGTGGGCAGGAGGCACGTGGTGCTGCCCACCTGGGCTATTAAAATAAAGCACATCCTTTATTCAAGTGTGATTCCACGACCAGAATTTGCTCCCTTTAATCCATTTGATGTTAATGACCAAGTACTGGTGGCATTTCTTTGGGACTGTGGGGATCTCAGGGGAACCTTTCCTCACCCTGTGCTGCCAGACACCCAGAATGAGCCTGGGGCTCTGACTGTCCCTGTGGGTGGCTCAGGAGAGGCTGATTTAGGATCTTCATCTGGTATCTTTGGAAGATGGAACAYGTGGATGTGCTCTATTATCAGTATTTTAAATGCTGCTCTTCATAYAGTTAGACACATATTGAATACTTCATAAATGTGTCAATACTTTGAATACTTCATTTCCTTTTCACATTTTTCCATTTAATTTGTCAGAAACTYGGGACTTCACTGTTGCTAGCTCTGTAAGAAGAGGATAAGGGCAAGGCATGTCCTCAGCCATTCCTTTGGTCAGTTATTAACTGTGGACCTGTATTTCCTTTGTGTTAAAGATTGCTCCTAGCTAGTGCTTTGTGGTAACCCCACTAAATGAAATAGGAACCAGGGTAAAAACCTGGATCTGGTAACTGCAGAATGGAACTGAAACAGACCCCTGAATTCAAAAAAAGAGAAAGTGTTCCGCTTTCTAAATTTCAGAATAAATAGATTGCGTGTGAATCTGACATGTTCAGGAAACTCACCTTTCTCCTAGTGGCTGATTAAAGCCTAGTCTTYTTAGGCAATATCTTAAGACCTTTGGTAGGAACTTGTGTTGCTGCTGTGTTGTGAGAATTGTGTCGTTCACATTTTAAAAACTCACAGTTTGTGCATAGTTTGGGGCATTGAAGCTGTACTTGAGAATCTGTTCAGAGCTCTTCCATYCTGGAAGGCAATAATGCCAAGCTGTCATACCCGCTGTGGTATGAATAACATGGACAGAATGATTATTCTGGTGTCACTTGACCTTGCTTGTCATCCACATGTTGAAAATATGAGTGTTCAGAATATGCAGCCTGCACAAAGCTTCTGTCCATTGATCACACAGAATTGCTCAATTATTGCTAAATGTCCTTTTTGTTGCCATCCATCTAAATGGTCCTCGAGCTGGATCTCATTTTCTGCCACAAACCAAACTGAATTTTCTGTTTGTATGTAAAGCTGCAAAAAGCCCCTAACAAGGTGGAAGAAGAGGTAGCAGAAAAGCAGCTGATGGAATAAAAAATTGGAATTCCTGGTAAATTCTGCCTAACCCATGCTGCTGGAAATACTCTCTTGAAACTCAGGTCTACTCTTTGTCTTGTATGTCAGCACAAGGTTTGGAATACTGAAGAACAAAATTTGCGTGAAAAGAAAACAAATATGCAAAGGGAAAGAAATTGTGCTTTAATTCTGGCCTTGAACAGGGGGAATTCACCCTTGCATAGGGTGAGCAAGGCTCTGCATTAAACTGGCTCTTGTGATTTATTCAAGGACAAGGTACAGATGTGCAATGGCACTGAGGAGTWGTAGCTACGCTGGAGCATAAATATCTTGTGTTGTAGACAAGGACCTAAATTGCTTTTGGGTGGTAACATTTTAAAATGAAATGTGATAAAAACATAGTTTACTAATGCTGATACTTGTTTTGAGTGATGTTTTCAAGTGTTTTGCTGTTGAGGCTGAACTTGAAGTCTTTGCTCGTTCTTGTCTTGTAAAACAAAGAATGCAAGAATTAAATTTCAGTGCTGCTTTTTCTTTGGCTCTAATAGTGAGCAACTCAAGAAAAAGACCAGAAGTATGCTAAAAATCTTGCAGTGGTTTCTCAAATGAAAGATTTCCTGGAATTATTATTCCTTTAATTTGGTGGCTGGGTGTGGTTTGGTATGGTAGTGCAAAGGAATGGATAATATTGAAGGCTTAACARCTGTATATTTGTGTAGGAAGAGTGTGTGTGTCAGTGAAATAAGGCTGTTAGTATATTCTAAGCAAACCAAACAAAGTGTGTATTTTTTTTTTCCTCTGTGGAATGAGGCTGGAARTGAGGAAGTGAGTCAGTTTCTTGCAGGGAAGGAAAGAATTGACAATAGATGGGACATGGTGTGAGCAAATGAGTGATACCTGTGGAGGGACAAAGGTGCTGGGTTGAGAGAGGTGATGGGCACACACAAGGGAACAGAAATCACAGAATCCCCTCTAATTTTGGATGTCACATCAGAGGCCTAAGGAGACAGAACAAACAAATGCAGCCTGAGGTAGCTGGCTGTGTTTCCAGT